GCTGTATGGGTTTAGCGGTAGCGCTGTAGGGCGAGTGATGTATGCTACTTGTACTAATGTGGTATGGTGCTGTACTATTATATCAGTTGCGCTGTAGGCGCAGCGCTCTAAATCACTATGCGCGAGAGCAGTGCCCTACAACTGTCTGCAGTGAGTGCGCCGCAGGACTGTAATATGAGCATTCGAGTGCCGTAATATCGCAGCACGGTGGTCGTATTCTACTGCTGTAGAGCTGTAGTGCTGGCGCTGTAATAGTCGTAGTGCAATACTGTAACAGTAATACTGCAGTAGTGGTACTCTAATATTGTACAGGCCTCGGCGAGAATGCCAAAACGGCCTTGGCGAGGAAGCCCAACTCATTGGTTTTACTAGGGTGTTGGCCCCATTTTGGCCTCCTGGGGGGGTGGGGGGGCGGCGCAAATGAATACTCCCCTCTTGTTTGATCAATCTCCTCCAAGATGGCCTCAAGAAGCGCCTGGGAGGCCCACACAGGTCCCAAGATGGCCCCAAGATGGCCCCAAGAGGCTCCCAAGAGGCTCCCAGGAGGCCCCCATGAGACCCTCAAGAGGCCCCAAGAGACCCCCCAGAGGCACAAAAGATGCTCCAAGAGGCCTCGGCGACAATGCCAAATCATTGATTTCACTAAGGTTTTAGCCACATGTTGGCCTCTTGGGGGGAGCACGGATTAAGATGACTCCAAGCGCGCCTGGGAGAGCCCAAGATGACCTCCAAGATGGCTCAAGACATCCCAAGATGTCTCGTAATGGCTTCCTCTGTGTGCTGCCCACTTCCCTGATCCAGGCAATTCCTCTGGGCATCGTTTCTGGATGGGCTGGTGGGGATTCACGAAGCGTCAACAATTTTCAACATTGCCACCACCAGAATCACCCTAGTCAGCACCACCTCTATGACTATCACCATCGTAAGCACCAGCGCATGCGCCGCCCTAATTACGTAGCATCATCGTCGTCATGCCACTTCGCGGCAGTATTATCCGCATGGTTATCACCATAATCGTCATCATCATCATCATCATCATCATCATCATCATCATCATCATCATCATCATCATCATCATCATCATCATCATCATCATCATCATCATCATCGTCATCATCATCATCATCATCATCATCATCATCATCATCATCATCATCATCATCATCATCATCATCATCATCATCATCATCATCATCATCATCATCATCATCATTATGTACATCGCCTTTTTCGTCATCAATATCATCACTTTTCATCAAGTTCACCATCATCAGTGTCGCGCCTACATGGTCAGCGCCATTGCCTAGACCACCTACAACAGTTTCATCCTCATTATCCTGCTTGCATGTTTGCGTCGCGTTCGTTCTGAAACAGGACGGCGCAGGATTTGCGGTTTAAGGTTTGTTCGCGCGGGTTCTCGCAATTTCAGGAGTGCGTCTTTCTTGGAGGCCTCCTGGGGCGCCTCTCAGAGGCAGAGGCATCCCAGGGAGCCTCTGAAAGGCGCCCCACGAGACCTCTGAGATGTGCCCCAGGAGAGCTGTGAGAAGCCACCCAGGAGGCTTCTGAGAGGCGCCGCAGGCGGTCTCTGAGAGGCCACCCAACGCTTCCCAGGAGGCCTCTTGAAGGCGCCCCAAGTAGCCCCTTGGAGGCCCCCCAGGAAGCTTCTGATTCCCCCCCCAGGAGGCTTCTGATTGCCCCCCCCGCCCCAATCGGCCTCTGATCCACCCCTTCCCCGTGGAACAACTCCGCAGCCCAGGGCGGCGCCCTGATCCACCCCTCCAACGTGGATTAACTCCGGATTTCATTCACGGGGCCCAAAGCGGCGCCCTGATCCACCCCTCCAACGTGGATTAACTCCGGAGTTACTTCACGGCGCCCAGGGCGGCGGCCTGATCCACCCCTCCCCCGTGGATTAACTCGAGAGTTAATTCACGAGGCCCAGGGCTGCGTCCTGATCCCCCCCTCCCCCATGGATTAACTCCAAAGGTAATTCACGGGATCCAAGGCGGCGCCCTGATCCACCTCTTTCCCCGTGGATGAACTCCGGAGTTAACTCACGGGGCCCAGGGCGGCGCCCTGATCGCGGATCCTGCTACCGGCTCTCCCGTGGATTAACTCTGGAATTAATTCTTTCCAAGGTGGATCGCCGTGCCGGCTTTCCCGCGGATTAACTCCAGAGTTAATTATCATATTTCCACCCAGATTCGGGCGCTTCCCCCCTCCTCCTCCTCCTCCTCCTCCTCCTCCTCCTCCTCCTCCTCCTCCTCCTCCTCCCCCTCCTCCTTCTCCCCCCCCTCCTCCTCTTCCTCCTCTTCCTCCTCCTCCTCCTCCTCCTCCTCCTCCTGCTCCTCCTCCTCCTCCTCCTCCTCCTGCTCCTGCTCCTGCTCCTGCTCCGGCTCCTGCTCCTGCTCCTGCTCCTGCTCCTCCTCCTGCTCCTGCTCCTCCTCCTCCTCCTCCACCACCACTCCTGGTGGCGCCACATGTCACGCGGCGCAGGGGCGCCCGTGAGCGGAAGGCCCAGACCTCCGGCGGCTCGACCACTCGCGTCGCAGGATCTTTGCCTCTCTCGGCGTCCGGGGGCCCGCTTGAATGCCCCAGTCATGGGGCCTGATTTTGCAGATAATGCCAGGCCCCATCGCCCTCCGTCGGCTTTAGCTCGTATCTCGGCTTCACTCGAAACGGAGGCAAGGGCCAACTTCCCCTCGGAGGAGGAGGAAATTGAAGGCACGCACTCGGTCGCGATGGCACATCTCGGTGCAGAAGCGACCGCTGTCGCCGCTTTCGGAGCGTGCCCCCCTAGTTCAGCGCCTCTTCCTCCTCCGCCACCTCCTCCCGATCTCCCCCCTGATGTGGTAGCCAGGATTGCCGCCAATCGAGCCGCCGCCTTGAGACGGCGTAGAGAGAGATCGGCCGAACGCAAGCGAGTCCCAGTTCAGCTTGAGGGCCTGTTTAGCCCGCCTCCGCCTCCGCCTCCCCCTCCCGAGTCGGTCCAGACGGATCTGCACCGTTGGTTCTCGCTGGCGATTTCTGCTTCGTGAATCGACAGAGATGGTTTCTCGTGGAGGGGGGATGGGCTTTGTAGGAGAGTTTGGGATTGTGGGAAGGCTTTTCGATTAAGGATCGCTTCCATCGAGGTTCCGCCGTTTGAAGCGGCCTCGTCAAGTGTGCGTGTGGCCCGAATTTGCAGCGCCCCTGCATCCTCCATTACCTCGTTCTGGGGTTGGTGGGAAGTTAATTGGAGGGGGTGGGTTCTCCTCCTCCCCCCGACGGCGACGCGGCGGTGATGGCGGCCCCCCGCGCCCGCCGCGCCCGCCGCAGACGCGCCGCAGGCTCGGCTACGGATCCCTCCCCAGACCTTCTACGGCGTTTAGGCCGGGGAGGTGGAGGAATAGGATGAGGTTTATGGCCTGGATCCTTCGTTTTTTGATTCGAGGTATTATTTTACCCGTTAAACCTTTGGCTTAGGGCCCTTCTGAGTTTTTCTCTGCTGGCCCGCACTTGGGCCTCTGGGCTGTAGCCTGTGTGCTTCCCCCCCCCGGTAGCCTTCTTTCGAGGAGCTTTCGAGGACTGCCTGACCTGACCTGACCTCCTCCTCCTCCTCCTCCTCCTCCTCCTGCTCCTGCTCCTGCTCCTGCTCCGGCTCCTGCTCCTGTTCCTGCTCCTGCTCCTCCTCCTGCTCCTGCTCCTCCTCCTCCTCCTCCACCACCACCACTCCTGGTGGCGCCACATGTCACGCGGCGCAGGGGCGCCCGTGAGCGGAAGGCCCAGACCTCCGGCGGCTCGACCACTCGCGTCGCAGGATCTTTGCCTCTCTCGGCGTCCGGGGGCCCGCTTCTGGCTTCGCACCGATCCTCCAACCCAGCGTCGCGAACAACGGCAGCCGACATGTTCTCAAACCAGGCCTCTGCGAAAGCGTTTGGGGCCCATGGACTGTAAAAACAGCACCTCGGGCGAGAAGGCGGTTTTAGGGAACTGGTGGACAACACCGCTGACAAAATCGCGACGTCGGAGGTCTGGGGGGTCACGGGCTTAGCGGGCCCGAGCCGACAACAGCTATGGGATCTCTTCTCCTCACTCCTCACCTCCCTCTCCCCCGGTTTTCTCATTGGTCTCCTCTTCCTCCTCCTCCTCCTCCGCCGCACCCTCCCCCTCGAACACCCCCCTCATCTTCTAACCCATCGAGCCACTTGAAGTTTGGAACCACATATTCCTTTGGGCAAACCATGCATCTCCACGACGTGATTGAGAAATTCTGCGACGAACGAACCCCCCAACAAGTTTTCTGCCTCGACGAAGCCATAGCTACGTTCATTCAGATCCGTAGCTCTTGCGCCCAGGCTGTGGAACAGTGGCAAAGTACTTCAGACATTTGAGTATCGGAAATGAGGAGGTGAGATCGAAGTGGAACGGAGAGCCCCCCTACCGGGAAATCGATTTCGGTTTCGTGTTCGTGCGTGCCGTGCGGGCGAGGCGAAGCTGCGTGGGCGGGCGAGAGAAAATCTCCTGTGGCTGAGGCGCGGCCAGACCAAATGATTCCCTTCCGGGCGGCCGGGGCCCCGCGGTGTCCCGCCGGTGTCCCGCTGGTGTCCCGTGTGGCTGAGGCGCGGCCAGACCAAATGATTCATTTCCGGGCGGCCGGGGGCCCGCGGTGTCCCGCCGGTGCCCCGTCGGTGTCCCGATTATGGTGATGATATTGATGATGATGATGGTGATGATGATGACGATGTTGATGTTTTGTTTTGATGATCGATAGTGAGATCGGTAGTGATATCGATTGTGAGACCGAACGTGAGATCGAATGTCAGATCGCTTGTGAGATCGAGTGTGAGATCGATTGTGATACCGAGTGTGAGATCGATCATGTCATCGATATTGAGATCGATTGTGAGACCGAATGGGATATCGATTGTGGGATCGATTGTGAAATCGATAGTGAGATCGATAGTGAGACAGAATATGAGATCGATTGTGGAATCTATTGTGAGATCGATAATCAGATCTGTTGTGAGATCGATCGATTGAGTAAATAGTGAGCTCACTATCGGTAATGAGATCGGTAGTGATTTCGATCGTGAGATCGATGATGAGACCGAATGTGAGATCGATTGTGAGTTCGGTTGTGATATCGATAGTGAGATCGATAGTGAGATCGATAATGATATCGAAAGTGACTTCGATAGAGAGATCGATAGTGAGGCCGAATGTGAGATCGATTGTGAGATTGATTGTGATATCGATAGTGAGATCGATAGTGAGACCGAATGTGAGATCAATAATGAGACCGATAGTGAGTTTGATAGTGAGATCGATAGTCAGATCGAATGCGAGATCGATTGTGATATCGATTGTGAGATCAATAGCGAGACCGAATGTGAGATCGATTGTGGGATCGATTGTGAGATTGATTGTGAGATCGATAGTCAGATCGATTGTGAGATCTACCGATTGAGATCGATTGTGAGATCGGTAGTGAGTTCGATAGTGAGATGATCAATCGAGTGCGACGTTGGTCCCCCCCCTCACCTCCTTATCACCCGAAGGGTGGTCTATGCGGTAACTCCAAGCTCGCCCAGAGTGCTCTAAGTGCTCCGGGCAAGTTTGAGGCAGGTTCGACTGAATCGTCCTCGCGTTGTCTCCGCCAAGCGCCAGGTTCGCTTCCAGGAGGGGTCGCGCGAGGATAGGGCGGCGCAACGCCGGCGAGGCGGCCGCGGAAACGTCGCCCCCAACGAACCCGAGTTGAAGGCTGTGCTCCTGGCCCAGAAGGCGGCCCTCCTCGACGGCGACGGAGCCGGGCGCGGTCAAGAATGCCGAAGGCACCTGGCGCGCTGCCAGCCATAGGCGCGGCCAGCTCGTGGCGCAGGTCGCTAGCTAACGCGGCCAGTTGGTGTCGGCGGTGGAACAGGATCAGGAGGCGCCCATCGACCACGCTGTGCGGAACGCCAAGCGCTCGGCCACATGGGCCATGGCGCAAGCGGAGGGCTTCTCGGAGGCGCCAGCGGCTTTCGGCATCGAGGTTAGAGGTTAGATGTTCGGTAACTTCGAGGAGTGAGATTGCGAGGGGGGTAAACCATCCCTGAGAGCCTTGAAGGCCGAGTTCGGCTCACACAAAGCGGCTTTCGCGGCCACGAGGTCAGGGTGGCGCGAGTTCCTGCAGCGGGTCGCCCAGCTCCAGAACAATGTCCAAGCCCGCATAAAGAAAAGCAAGGCGCGGAATGGCGGCGACGACCAGGCCACGACGCAGGAGCCCTCTCCAGCCATCGACGCTGCAACATTGAGCTCCGCCGCGTCACCAGATGCTGGCGGCGAGCAGCTCGCGGCACCACAGGCAGCAGCAGCGAAAAACGCCATTGAATATCAAACGAGATGCAACCAATAGTCCCAGACTCGGTTCCAGAGTGCGGCGCAAGGGTCAGGGCAAGAAGGCGGCGGCGAACACTGACGCAAGCAACTGCATGGCAACTCCAGCGACAAACAACCGTCTTGACTACCCTTTGCTACGCCCCCTTCGGTTTCTTTAAGTCCCTCCTCTAAATCCACACGACGACGCACGAGATCCAACACGGCGTGCACTGGCACTACGACACCTTCCGACAACAGGGGGCGCATCCCTGACGGGTCACACACTTCGCCCAGTGCAACCGAGTACTGGCCAGGGCTCCCCTCAATGTCTCATCTGATCGAAAAGCACTTGCATCGGCGACGCCACATGGAGGCATGTCAAGGAAATGGAGCAAACCTTCGACGATATATCCTTCTGTGAGGACCATAACCATCATGCGGGCCTCCAGCCGTGGCGGAAGAACGATCGACGATGCCATCTAAATTTTAGGATGTTTGGTAAAACTGATGGATCTCCCCGTTTTCCAGGACTGGCGCGGGCTTCTCCCTTGGTCCCCTCGCTCCTGCCCTTGCCTCTTGCTTGCCCTCTCCCCCCTTCTTTCCCGCCGCCATTCGGCGGCTCAAGTCTTTTGAGGCCAAGCTGGGGGTCGGCCTCAGTTGGCCTAAGGCCGGGCCCGAGAGGGCCAGAAGACTTCCAGGTCCTGGGCCCGGGCCTGGCAGGGGCGCCCGCGGCCGCACGACGCCGCGCCTGGCGCCGCGCGGCTGGGGGGCGGCAGCGATGCCGCCCGCGGGCGCGCAGCTGCGCAGCGGCGGGGGGCCCGGGCGCCGAGCGGCGCCGGCTCACGCCAGCCGCGGAGCACCCGGTGGCGAGGCGGCGTCCGCCGAGGCGAAGCCGCCGAACCCCACCGCCAAGCCGGCGACCAGGCGCGAGCCCGCGCCGGCGCCGGCACGGTGCCAGGCGAGGGCGGCAGAGCGCGCGCGCGCGCCGGGGCCCGCCTGGAGGAGCTGCCCCAAGGACCCGGCGCCGCCGCCAGCCGGCTGGCGCTGCGGGCGAGCGGCGGCCCTGCTGATGTTCCTCGTAGTGGCGGCCGAGGCCGCCAACGCCGACCGCGAGGCCGAGTCCGCGTACTACGACGACATGTCGGACGTGGACATGCGGGCGTTCTGGCTCGACGGCACGTTGGTCCCCACCTCCGTGGACCCGCCGCCGATCGGAGCGCGCCCAGCCGGCGATCATGCAGCTCCCGCGGGGGGTGCCGGAGGAGGCGCGCCGCGCGAGCGCCCCGCGCCGCCGGCCGACCCACCTCCCCGAGGCCCAGCCCGCGCTCCCCCCGACCCCCCTGGCTCGGACCAGTCGTCCTGGATCAGGGGTTGGGGTCTCTTCGGCATCCGCTGGAAGGACATCGGCAACCGCGCGCATTGGTTCGCCGAGGGGATGGGGGGAGGTACCATTCGGGCCGTGGGGAGTTTCAGGTTCGCCTTCTCGACTCGCGAGGCAGGAGGCCGACCAGGTGGGCCTCTACCTGTTCGGCTCCGCGTGGCCGCTGATCGCCGGGCTCGTGGCGGTCCTCTCCGGCACTGGCGTGGTCGCGCTCCTGGCCCACAGCCTGAGGACGCTCTTCGCACCCTGCAGCTGGGCGGCCTGGACCTGCGGCCTGGTGCTGGCGTGCTGTCCCTGCCCGAGGCGCAAGACGCCTGGCGAGGCTAAGATTGACAAGCTGGTCCCGCCGGCGGCGCCGCCCCTCACCGACGTGGTGCGGCATGGCCCAGCTGTGGGTGCCGATCCGACGACCGACTAGTACCGCAAGAGCATCAAGGAGGGCAGGGGCTCCAAGCGCGGCCAGAATGACCTCATGATCAGGGTCGACTACCGGGTCGCACGGCTCAAGCTCAACATGAAGTTCCCGGAGCGCATCAATCGCCAAGGACTGTGGGTTGAGTATGACTCTGTGAAGGGCGCAAGCGACAAGGGCTTCAGGCGCGAGCTGGAGCAGCGAGATCCACGCTGGCTTCACCTGTGCCGTTCCACCAGCTGTACCGGGTGCAAGGGGCGCGAGAACGAGCTGCATTGCAAGGAGTACGCCGCCCTTGACAACGAAGCCATCGTGGATCTCGGCGACTATTCGAGGTTCACACCCTGCCGAATTTTCGTCTGGCTCTGGAGGTGGTTGGGCCTCGTCTACAAGCTGCTGCTGTACGTCCTCTCGTGGATCTCGCGTTGCGGGGCGTGCCTCTGCCGCCGGCGACGCCGCCGTCACAGGACTGGCGACGCGGAGCCCGGCGTGCAGGGGTCGGTGGCAAGGTTGCTTGACCAGGAGTCCGAGTCCGAGGTAAACGCCGAGGACAACCCCTGCGAGGCGGTGAAGGTGGGGCTCATGATCAAGGGCAAC